CTCTCTCTCTCTCTCTCTCTCTCTCTCTCTCTCTCTCTCTCTCTCTCTCTCTCTCTCTCTTCTTCTCTCTCTCTACTCTCTCTCTCTCTCTCTCTCTCTCTCTCTCTCTCTCTCACTGTCCCTCGCTTCTTTTCCCTCTTGTCTTTCCCCTTTTACATGTTATTGTTCTACCTACTTGTTATATCGCCGTGGATCCAGAAATCGTTCATACATAAAATTCCAATATATTTTCCCGGTAATATGTGTGTTATCAAGAGTGAATAAAACAAATAATTGGTTTTAAAAAAGAATTTGTTAAAAAATTGAATAATTCGTTTTGATATATTATATTTATATATTTACGTATTTTGTTTTCGTCATTGTTACTAAGGCACTTTAGATATATAAATTGTTCGTATGTTAACTTTCAGGTTTTCATATGATAAAAATAATCAGCTTAAAACTGTGTTTAACCTATAGATAAGCTTTTATACACGCGCGCACGCACGTATACACATACGTATATAAGTATACTATAAATGGATGTGTGTAAAGTCCTAGTGGAAATTATACGAGATACATGCATTGCAGAGCATGTGACTACATCAACGGTGCAAAACGAATAAGGATGGCTGCAAAAGTTATCTGCCGCAGTAAAGCTCCGCCGGACTTCTTGGCAAAGTTTCTTCCGCGAGAACTGCAGGTGATCGTTATTACTAATCATATTCTAGTTCGGTCATTATTTTATTTTAATGTCATTGACAAGTCGATGTAAACAGCGCGTCCGCAATGAATATAAGTATAAGCTTCTTTTTCCAGATTCTACAGCTTTTGGAGCATGACAATATCGTGAAAGTTTATAGTATTAAAGAGGTTGGCGATAATACGTATATATTCATGGAGCGGGCAGAAAACGGTGACCTACTAGACTACATCAAGGTTCGTAATATTTGGTACGTGCGTCCGCAGTGAATGTATGCACTCCATTACTATCATCACACAACACAACGGCATAAAGATCACTAAAGCACAATATGTGAACAAACCTTCGTGAGCCCGCCCATCTGATGACTGGGATCAGAAACACTTCAATATGGAAGCCTCCGTTCATCTTTTCCATTGAACAACGAGAAATCTATATCGTTAAACAGATTACCAATTACCGGGTGTCGATTAAAAATAAAAAAATATGCAATTTAGGAGGGCATTAAATTGAACAGAAAACCTCAGCAGACACTACGCAGCGTAGTTCTAATGAATTATTATTTAGAACTCAGGCGACATCACTTAACTATTTTGGTAATGGATAGCGATTAACATCGAGTTTTGAAATATGGTTCCGGTAAGGTGTCATTAGGTTAGGTAACTTTCACCTCGTCTAGAAAGACGATGTTTAGCACCGATGGTATAGTATAGGTGGAGCAAGATTTTCCTATGGTAGGTGTTGTACGTAAAATACATCGAATGAATATATATATATATGCATCACGTATTTTCTCCATGATTGTTAAAAACTGCATGAAGGGTAATGGAGCAATAAATCTATAATTTATATAATTATATATATATATATACGATACGTGTGATAAATATCTGATCTGAGACAGAAAGCAGAGTAATTTTATCTTGATAATGGGCTATTTTAAACTTTACCTCAAAGAATCGAGGAGCAGTAGAACAACCGACGGCAAAAAGGATGTTTAGGGAGCTGGTCTCCGCTATAAAGTACTGCCATGACAAGAACATCGTCCACAGAGACCTAAAATGCGAGAACGTACTCTTGGACAAGCGATGGAGGGTGAAGTTGACAGATTTCGGCTTCGCGCGCTTCTGTGGTACGGTTTTTGCAGCCCGCATATAGTGCATTTATTTATTTATTCATTTATTTTTTATTTTTTTATTTATTTATTTATTTATATATTTGATATCTACACATATAATCTGTGCGCCAGTATATTACCTGTAACAGGTAATACAAATATATAAGGCATAACAGGCAAGTAGATAACCGACAAATTTTTGACTGTATGAATAGTCTGTAAGTTTGTAAGTTATATATAGTTTGTATATTAAATAATATATTATAGGGCCGTAGGCTAAGCAAATTTTTAGGGGGGGGGGCAAAATCTCATAACTCAGCCGTGTAAGTAATGATGAGCGACGGGCGCAGCTCTTGATCGACGTCGGTAGTGTGGTAGCCGTGGGTCTGAGACAAGGCTTTCACGGATAAGTGACCAACAAATCACGTCAGGGTTATTTACGATTATAATTATTAGCCAAGCTTATTTTTTATTTTGCTCCAAAATTTAGAGGGGCAGCTGCCCGCTTGCCCCCCAGAGGCTACGGCTCTGGATATATATATATATATAATATATACTCTATGAGTTTCTTACGGTGTCGCGTTGCAACATTGCAGTGGATGAAGAAACGAACAAGCGTGTGCTGAGTAAAACGTATTGCGGTAGTGCAGCCTACGCCGCCCCAGAGATACTACAGGTGAGTCGATACACCATATATATATATATATATATATATATATATATATATATATATATAATAATATATATATATA